GTTCAAATTTCGACAAAATTGATCAAATTTAAGACTTAATAATTATTTCGTAATTAAAAATTTATAAAATGTTCAACTTTTATAGGTACGGATCGAACCTTTAAAACAATGTCCCACGTAAATAGGTTGTATATAAATTACTTTATTCACAATATTATCATCAAATATACTTAGGAATATCATAAGCTGACTGGCCGTCTTCACTCAGATTGGTTTTTCTTATACAATGATATTATATCATTGATTTAAAATTTAGCACCATCCATTATACAGTGACCCACTTGGCCACTTGTAAGCTACTGTACTGCAGAAGTTTTGGTAGTGCTAAAACCCACCTAAAGCCCTAACCAACTGTACGGTGTAATATGGATGTTGATTGAGCAATTAAATAATTATTATTAGAGTGATTAATATAATATTCTGATAGATTCAAGTAATAGGCAATCGTAAATGACACAAATCTAATACGATTATAAATCATAATATTATTATCACGAACGTGTATCTCTCTAACAGACGTCGATCAAAGAAACCCATTATTAGAGGACTTCATCGAGGACGCGCGTATGTCGTCGGGTCACGTAACTATATTATCGTATTTACATCGTACAATTTAAAATGATTGATTCGGTGCAATATATTTTTGCATCATCTGGTACCTAACGCGGGTGCACATTATTGTGATATTTCATTTTTCTTCACCCGCGAACGGCTTCGCCATTCGTGTACCCTCGTCACGTTTATAATATTATTGCACTCGTATTATTGTAGTCATATTCGCAATCCTGCTGCAGTAGTTGAACTCCGTGGAAAATATAAGAAAAAAAAATCATACGATAATTATTATTTGAATATACCTAATATAATGATAAGCGGACGTTTCATCCCCATTAATTATTATCAAAGTATAGGTCCTATATACTAAAGGACATTTGGCAGCCGAGATTTATAGGACGTTTAGCCCCCCTGCAGTATTTTAAATGAGTCAAATTTAAGTCACTCTTTTAGATTCTGAGTGGAACGATGAAAATTTTGGATGAATAGACGATGAAATTGAGGATTGAAAATTTAAAACAAGATTCCACGTAAGTAGTTAATTCTGCTACCAAAAACTCTAAAAAGTATTAGCCATTTTAAGTTCAAATTTGGACGAAATTACATATTAAAAAACCTAGAATAACTATTTTAGTTATTTTGTTGTGATTGTATAATATTATTTGTGGGTACTTGAAACTTCTAAAGTACACTATTATATATCTATGATAGTATCAGGGCTTGTTGTTGATGTATAACGCGCTATAAATACCCAATGGATATTGTGATATGATTAATTTGGAATTTATTATAGGTACCTATTAGGTCAATTTGTTTTAATACCATAGATAAGTATATAATATGTTTTATTATACCTAGACTGACATATCGTCTGCGCTCAGAATCGTTTTTCTTATACAATGATATTATATCATTGAATTTAAATTTAATACCATCCATTATACAGTGACCCACTTGTAACCTACTGTACAGCAGAGCACCTTTTTTTCCTTTGAATATTATGAACATACAATATGTTGGTAAGTGGATTTTTTTCGTAATTTAAAATTTCAACTCTTATAAAAAAAATGTAAAATTTCAATATAATTATTCTATTTATATTCATCACAATATTATAATTTTGATCATTTAAATTCAAATAATATACTTAGGTAAACCATATAAAAATATAATTCATTTACGATACAAATACATTTACATAATTATTTATGTTCTTATATTCCAATCCAGTCACTATTTATTTTAAACTTAAAATGTCAATACCATATTTATTTATTTAGGTAAATCTTTGACGATTAAATAATTACAATAAATTACATTAATAATAGCTGATACTTTACCAACTGAGCTATAAGATCGTATATCTGGTGAATAGAGTTCATCGATATTACAATTCGTTTTATAGTGAAATACTTATACAAATAAAACTACAGTTTAACTAACTAAACATAACATAGTAGATGGATGTTTTAGAAACAAAATTAACATCAACGTTACATAGGTACCCAAATTATTTACCTTCATTAAATCACTTATTATTTTTTAAAAAATACAAAATATAGGTAAGTACCTACTATTTATAATATTTCTATTGTATTTCTATTGCAAATGTATAAGATTTTTTATATAATTTATTAATTTACTTCTTATGTTATTTACATTTTACTGATGAAAATTATATTGTGATGAATTTAAATTAAATAATATTATATTGAAATTTTAAATCTAGGTATCAAAAAGATTTAAAAATTTCTAAATAATAAAAAATGTCGATTTAAATTTGACTGATGATTACCATGGGACTAAATGTTCTACCTTGATAATTTTGGGGGGGGAGGTCAAATCTAGATTTTTTTTGACGGGGACTAAACTGCAGGGACAAAACGTCTGCAATTCTAATTCAGTATGTATATAAATATTATTATCGTTTCGTATCATCGTACGAACTTAACTTTTCACTATGGGGTCGAATTCACGTCCCACGCTAAGATGTAATAGTCCCCCGAGAGAGTCTATTATATAGTGGCCAGTTTTAGGTAGTGAACACAACAATTATATGTTTGTATAATAACGCATTCCGTCCGATGCGAACAACTCATTTTTACCTACATAGTTGTACAGTATATATAGATACACTTACACTTGGAAAATTAGTTTATGTGTGTTTAAGTTTTGTTATTGATTTTCCATAAAGATAACATCGTTTATACAGAGGTTACAAGTATATTATTATGTACACTCGTAATATGGCAGAGTAACCATACTATACCTATATATACCTGTGTAAATTATATGTCTATAAGTATAATAAATGTATACTTACGTGCGATAGATACGTACCCTAAATTTTATGGTTACGTTTTTAGAAAATATAAACCGAAAAACCTGCACACTCACGCATTACGTGATTTGACGATTTGGCGTATTATTTGTATTTATACAAGTAAGTAAGTAATATTAATTATGTTTAAAAGTTAAAAAGTCCGTTTTAATAATTTAATAATATCATGATGTCAATAATAAACTTGATTTAATATTTAATATTCTTAAGAGAGTATACGATTTCTACGACGATCAGCGTACAACTTTGTAAAACAATTGTTACCATAATATTTTATATAATATTCAAATGCGACAAAGACTCAAAATATTGTGTATTTATACTTTTTCAGCCACCCTTGCTTGATATATATATATACCTATAATATGGTATGTTTTATTAATAAAATTATTATTGTTATACTGTGCGGTCGTTTATATAATACAGTCAATGACAGCAGACACGGCGGCTTTCGAAGCTCAATGAATTTATTTATGGGTTAACAAACAGTTACAAAACGACATAACGCTGATGATAGGCTCGAATCGATCATGCGAATAATACCGCGAATTAGATGAAAAAAAACCACCCAGCAACACTGTGCAGCAATGACAACATAGAAAGAAAAAAACCGTTTGCCATTAATCTGGCAAATCATTTGTTAATTATAATATTATTACTTTCGTTGTATACGTAGGTAGGCTAAATAAACGCACCTTTACAAAACGATAAAAACGATTAAAATTGAAAAGTATTATAGTAAATATTACGAAGGAAAAACTCTTAAAATAATGGAACAAAAATAAAAAACTTAATAATGTTTCACATATAAGTAGTAATAGTACCTAATCACAAACTGCATGCTTATAAAACATATATGTGGTTTTGAATTGGTTCTAGTCCTCTTTTTCATACTCCTTTAGCTTTTTATTATATATTATAATTATACGAATATAATACTTGGGGATCTTATAGACTATATATTATTATTATTACTATTATTATTGCACAGTGAGTCTTTAAATAATAATACTCGAATTAGACCTCGATTTTATTCACAGCGTTTATATACATAATATTATGTTATAATCAAATATTCTTCCGTCTGCGAGAGACGAATAAATTATTGTTGTAATAAAATTATGTTACTCTTGCAAACTTGAGTCGTTGAAAGTTTTTGATAAAAATGTCTATTAATATTACGTTTGAAACAATTTTCAAGTTTTCAGTTGACAGTACAACGACGGCACAAAGTCAATCATAATATTATTATAAAGCACACGAGTAAGTTAGATAATTCAATAGTAATACTATTAGGTTTTGGGTAGGAATACTTCTTGATCACTCTTATACACGCAGACATGTACCACTTATACTCTTTTACAAAATATATTTATTTAAACAACAGTAATAAAAATAACAAACAATTCAGCAGTAAAAAATAAAACAACAGATAATAGTTATAATTCTAGGTAAAAAAAAAAAAATTAATAAACAACAGAAAGACATCAAAATAAACACTATGGAAATATAGATGAAAAATAACAAAATAACAACAATAACAACAACAACAACTACAATTATTAAAACCATAATAGTAACAACGATAACAATACTAAACTAAAACAATACCTACTATACTTGACCGGATAAGCTATAATATATTATTATAACATTATGTTATTATAGACGTTTTATGACCGGGTAAGAGAACGATATAATTATTATTATTATTCTATATTATTATATTAGCTACTGTTACCATCGACGAACGAGAGAGTGAATTTAGGTCTGTCCGAGAGTGTGTTTATCACATGATGAGAAACAGTGGGAGTGGTGAGGGGAAAAATGTATCGATTTTGTTTTTACTTTTACATAATGACTGTGTCGTCACGGCTTTTTACGAACGAATTTCAATATTATATTATTATTATTATTACGTGGCTGCGGTGGCGAGGTATAGATTATTTTATTACTTCCGGTTTGTCCGTAGAGGATTGATAGAAAAATGCCATTACCGAAGGCGTGGTGGTTGTCTGGACGCGACTGCGGTGCGTGTACGGATCATAATCTATAGAGGAGCGGAGTGTGTCCGGTCAGGACGTCGGGCGGACGAAGGCGATGCTCAATAGTACGCGTCGGCGTCGTTGTAGACGTCGGCCGAGTCGTACAGGTTACCGTACTCGGGTTCGGCGTCGTCCACCTCGTAACCGGCGTGCGTGCCGCCGCCACCGTCGTCCGCGTCGTCGTACGCCTCGACGCTGTCGTACTCGGACGCCTCGGCCTCGACGGCCAGGGGGTCGTACTTTTTGTTCTTGGACATCTTGCTACCGTCGTCGTTCAGCGAGTCGTAAACGTACCGCTTGGTCGGCTTGCCGTCCTTCTCCTCGAAGTGCCATGCCGAATACTTGGGGTTGGACCGGCCGTTGTCGTCGTACGCCGTCGACTCGTGGTACGCGCCGTTACCGCCGTCGCCCGCCTTGCTACCGAACGACACCTGCGTGCCGAACCCATAGCTGTCCGAGTCTTTGTCGCCGTACACGTCGTCCTCGTTGTAGCCCTTGTCGCCCTTGGTCGAACCGGTCCGCACGTAACCGTCCATCAGCGACGCTTTGCCGGCCACCTTCTTCGACTCGGCCACGACCGGTTCCGCGGCCGCCACCGCGTAGTGCGCGTCCGAACTGACGGCCGCCATGTCGCCAGCGACGACGGCTGGGCGTCCGGTGGACGCGGCTTGGGCGGCCGTCAGCACGACGGCAGCCACCGTGAACAGCGTCGCGGCGTGCGTCCAACAAGAGCCATGTCGCGGTCGTAGTGACGATAGTGAGTTGTACATGGCGCTGCTGCAGTACGATACAATGAGCAGGTTAACTGATGGCGGCCGGTTAAATAACAAAAACGGCGACCGCCCCCTCCCCGCGGCGACCCGCCCGACCGCGACGGACGTCTTCGCAAGGTCGCCGCCACCGCCGCCGCTGCGGCTGTATAGTACTATGGCGTGTGTCGCAAACGGCCGCGGGACCGTTTAATCGCGGCCACCACCGCCGCCAGATTTTATGCAACTCCGCGCGGAGGCTACAGGCGCCTCGTGTTTACGCGGTTCAGTGGCCGTCAGCGGCCGCGGTGTGTGCCCGTCGCTAACGGATGTCGCGCCGCTCGATTGAACAGCAGCGCCGTTGCGACATTTTCGTCCTCGACGACACTATTATATTATATGCTCGGGGCGACGATCTCCGAGGCGGCGGCGGCGGCGTGTCGAGTGCGCATGCGTTATGCGGTGTCGCACCGACATTCGCGATGTATAATATATTATTATTATTATATTATTTAATTCCGCTGCAGCTGCCGCCGTACACGTCCTGTCGGATACGACCTTTTTCGCGGGTTGTGAAATCACACGTTTCCCGCTTCGGCACCATGAAAATCCAGTGAAATCGCTTATACGCTTCACACGTGCGTCGTATAGGTCGTGCTCGCCTGCGATATTATGATTGCGAGCGGTCATCTGTGTCTGCTGTGCAGTATAATTAATTATGGGCAAAAGTCTCATTTTATTTCGCGTTCACATTACCTATACATATATATTGTTGTTGTTGTTGTTGTTGTTGTTGTTGCCGTATTTCAAGTCATCACCGTAGGGGTATATCAATAAAAATATATAATATGCACACTTGACTATACGGCCAAATAATATTATTTGTATATGAGAGATGGATTGGTTTAACGTGAGAAAGTCTCTGAAATTGTAGAACATTTTTTTTTCCGGACAATCTTAAGTCGTTCAAAAAAATATTTTTTTTTAAGTTTCTTACTCTTTTGAATGACAACACACATTTTTTTATTCAAGATATTATTATTCAGAATATTATTCGGAGCATATTCAAATTCTAAAGTAGGTAGCTTATTAGTCATAATATAAAGTATTTAAAGTTTTGATGAGCACAGTTTTAGTGGACAAAACTTGGCTTATAAAAACTTTAAATATTTATAACTCATACATTTTACTCGTCAAAAAATTCGATTTTTATATAATATAAACTACAACAAATATTTGATTGGGAATAAGGAATTTTAAATGCATATCGCCAATAAAAAAAATTTAAAAAATAACAAAAATTGTAAAAAATATATTTTTCAAAAACGTGAATAGTTTTTGAAACAACAAGTGTCATGAGTTAAATAGACCAATCAGTGTGTAAGTAAATTTACCGGTGCATACTAGTTGTCTCCCAAAATATACGAATTGCCTCCAATTCTTATCGTAAATTAAAAGGACCTAAGTAGTGGTTCATAAACTTTACTATAATACACCACGTGTAATTACACTCATACGCTATAATTATAAAAATTAAGTTTACAGTAACATAATAATTTATGTTTAATAAAAAAATATCAGTCTCAGGTATTAGGTATATATATATATATTAATATATTAAATAAATTTATAGAAATAATAAGTACACAATTATATTAAAAAAAAAAACATCTAAAATACATATTAGTCATAATACAATTTTAGATTCTGAGTGAAACGATGAATGTATTGATTTTACAATGATGTGTGTTTTTTTTTTAATTTTTTAATTTTTAATTTTTTGTGTCTGTGTACACGATAAGTAGTCGAAGTAATACTTTGATTTTCGACTTCAGTATCTTGTTCGATTGGAAAGTGAATATCGTTGGTGCATTGGGGAGGTCAAAATTTAAAATTCCTAGTACTTTTCAAAAGCGCCATGTAGCGATTTCCTTATTTGGTTGTTATTCATAAACGAATAACTATAGATACATGAAAACTTCACTGAATGTTTATATTAGCATTTCCTATACACCATACAATTTTGAAAATATTCTGACTCTTTTTGAGATGTTTACGGACATTTTTAGTTTTCAATTTTTTTAGTTTTTTTTTCTATAAATATCAATAAGGTTTAATCTAGCTGTTGGGCCAAAAAGTGTAAAAAATTAATACAAGGCTCCTGATATATTGTTACAATATCAGTTGAAAAATATTAAAAATACATAGGCACAATTTTTTTTTATAAGCATTTAAAAATCGAATTTTGACAGAATTTTTCTAAATCTCGAAAATTATTAATCATCGTAATTAATAAATTATAAAATGTTTAGTTTTTATAGCTAAGGATTGAAAATTTAAAACAAGATTCCACGTAAGTAGTTAATTCTTACCGAAAAATCTAAAAAATATACAATCACATTTTATTTTTATAGTCATTTTATGTTCAAATTTGGACGAAATTACATATTAAAAAACCTAGTTATTTTGTTGTGATTATATAATATTATTCGTTGGTACCTACTTGGAACTTCTAAAGTGTACTATTATATATCTATGATAGTATCAGGGTTTGTTATTGATGTTGATGTATAACGTGTTATAAGTACCTAATGGATATTGTGATAATGTGATATGATTAATTTGGAATTTATTATAGGTCAATTTTTTTTTAATACCATAGATATGTATATAATTTGTCTTAAACCTAGACTGACATACCGTCTTCGCTCAGAATCGTTTTTCTTATACAATGATATTGTATCATTGAATTCAAATTTAATAGCATCCATTATACAGTGACCCACTTGTAACCTACTGTACAGCAGAGCGACATCCACTTACCCACCTTTTTTGAAATTGAAATTTTAAAAAATCCGTAATAATTACGAAAATGTTAAAATTATTCAGTGGCTTATATTTCGGTTAAGTTAGGTAAAAATTTGTTGAACATATCGTATTGAAATTAGAATAGTAAATTATCAACAAAAATTTAATATAATTAAATGATAAAAAATCCTTAGAAATAAAGGCTGAGACGCCTGAATGCTGATATACCATCCGTTTCCGACCAAAAATTATGTTTTTCGGATGCAATAATTTTTCATTGCATTTAAATTTAACATGGCCATTACTGCAGTGACCAGTTGACGAGATAAATCCACTAAATCCACTCGAAACATTTTTATACGACTATACAGCACCAAAACTTCCAGATTTTTTTATTAATTTTATATAACTACCTACTTGAACTCCGAAATCAATAATAATTATTCATTTT